ATTATGCCGGGGATTAACATCTTAAAGTCTATGAGACTTTCTGACTCAAGGCTCGGAGCTGGTAATCGTGTTTGTCTCCCGGTTCAGCGATTAGTGCTCTCTTTCTTGCACTTTCCCCCGATAGCCAATGTCCCTTTTTGCAGGCACGCAGCGTTGCGGTGGGGGGAGCGTCTGTCCCTAGTGGGCCCCCAGCTCCCCATTCACGCGCCGGCTGTTCTTTTCCCCTTACCTGAGGCAAACAATCAGAAAGCTGGCGGGCACTGGCAAAATCTCCTGCGGTGACTCCTTCCCTTCGTGGGAAAGACGACGGAGCCTGGGTAGGGTTGCGTAGAGGGCGAGGAGACGTCTGCCGGGCTGTGCGCGCCGGCGCGGACGCGGCGAGCGTGGGGAGGCGCGGGCTGCAGACCGGGGTCTCGGAATGGGGATGGGCCTGGGGGAGGCTCGTCCCTGCCTTGTCTCCCCCGGCACAGGGGCGGCGCAATGAGGCGACAGCTCAGGGACCCAGCCGGCCCTCCCCAGGACTCGGCTGAAACCGAATCCGCTCCGGACGGGATCCGAGGGGAAACCGAGGGTGAGACTGAGAACGCCACGTGGGAGCGGCGGCTGGGGACCAGGCCCACGGCGGGGCATGAGTTTACGTTGCCATTCCCCTTGGCTTCCTTGGCTCCCGGAAGGAGACCGCCAAAAAATCCGGACTCACGCTCGTTCCCAGCGCTCGCCAGCACCGCCAAGGCCCCCGCCCTGCGAGGCCCTCCGCTGAGAAAGCTAATCCCCTACTCCGGGCTCGCCCGCCCTGGAAACTGTTCTAGACTGCAGCCAAGAGCTAGAGACTGGGGGGCGGGGGGGGTGAAAGATGTTAAGGATTTGCTTTTTCTTACAATCTTTGCATCTTTAGAATTTAGGGTGCAAAGCCCCCCTTGGCAGGCTTTCATCCTGATCTTTTAGCAGAGCGTAAGCCATGCCCTCTCCTTCCGGCCTGGGCGCTGCACTGCGAGTTGGGGGACGGGCTTTCTGGGCAGCCAAGCCTTTGCACTTGTGCCCTCGAAGGAAGGGCGCCCCGGGACAGTCACCTGCAACAGCAAGACTCTAGCGCGGGGACGTCTGTCCTCTTTTGCCACTTGTGAGGTCGAGATGTGGATGGCACGTAGCCTGTGGCTCCACAGCAACACCTACCGTAAACCTCAGGGCTTTTGGGTCGTCCCAAAGTTCAAGCTTCTTAGAAGCAACAAAGACTTTCTAAAGATCTCCGCCCCTTCCCCCTCCCCCGACTTCACTTTTCTCCGGCTACACATCCTCGGCCCCTTTTCTTTCTAAGGCTCGGGGATGAGTTTAAATCATTGTGCTCCCATTTCTTGATAACTGCCTGCTTTGAGCTTTTGTTCTCTTAAAGTAGGATTGCACACTGAAAGAGGGGCTGAAGATGAACAGTTTGACCCCGTAGGACAGTTCACGCAATGCACAGGAGCGGCCTTCGGTCGCCGTCCTCGCTGATGCTATTCACGCTCTCCCCTCCCCCTTCACAGAACATTTCAGCCTCGTTTCATCTGGACGATCTTTTAGACCACACAAGGGCCTCTTGAATTTATTTAAGTTAAAAGAGTGCTGGAAGAGTCCAGCTAAGGATATTTGGCATTAGTTACGTCTTCGCAAAGCTGAGTACAAATCGACATTGCTTTTTTCAGCAAAACTGAGCAAAATGCCGAACAAATAGAATTCTGCTATCTAGGCAACTGCGTGTGAACAGTTGGTCTGTGGATTGCACCAGCGTTTGTTAGCTTGCCCTTGGGGTCCTTTTCTTTTTCTTAAGGATATTTTTCATAGTGAGAAAAATGCTCTATTTTCAAGAGAAAGGCAGCTCTTGAAAGCTGCAGTACAAACACACAACCAAAATTCTTAGAGTTCCAAGATCAATAAAGGGTGATTTCCTTCCACCTTTACTTTGCACCGTAACACTGCATGTACCCAAAGAAGCCCTAATTTTAAAAATAAAATTCTATAAACCCCATGATATCATTGTTTAAATGGATTAGAGGTTGATTTATACCAATATTTGAATATGTACCCAACCCTGAGTTTCTTGACAGTGCCGGAAGTTTCCTTTTAAAGGAAAATTTTAAAGGAAACTTCCAGAAGAGGAAATGTGCAGTTTACCTTAATACTACTTACCATTACCAAACATCTGCAAAGGATACACTTAAATTTACATTATTAACATTATTAACTTTGCATTATTAATAGAAGGTTTGGATTTTGTCAATGGAAAGCATGTGCCCTTTCAGGGAATCATAAAAACATAAAATCCTGGGAGACTGTAACAACTGGGCAGTCAGATGCCCAAATACTGTTAACAATCAACTAAGAAATCCATTGTGTTTCATTAGCGTTAAGCATTAGACCCAGCTTGATCTCATTGTTATTTGTGGTTATAGTAATACAAGGCTCACCAGTTTCCCTTTAAGCCTCTACTTAACTGGATTGCAATTCTGTTCTTCTCCCAAATACGTTTTATCATTAAATCAATCCAGCCCTTCCCAGCCAAACCAAAATTTTAAAGCAACCTGTCCAAAGAGGTGTATTTCTACTGATGCTAAAGTAAACCTTCCTTTGTTTTCCATTACATTAATCTATTGGCTTGTCTTTATTTGCAGCAACTTCTTTGGAGAGATAGAGATATCTAAAGACTGACAAGCCATAGTTCCTCCCATCATTCCAGTATTTATTTTTAAGAGTCTCTTATCACTTCCTCAGAACCTAGCTTTCTCACTTTTTATTTCATTCAAATTTACGAACAAAAAATCCTGTATCCACTTCCTGGACAGGGCCACACCCTTGGTGGGTTTTCTTTCAGGGGGACTATGAGCGGAGTATTGGCTTGTTTGCTTTCCATGATTGTTGCCTGTGAAGCAATGTTCATGTGTGCGTACTACTGACCTATCTTTTGCTTGTATCAAGCCACCTATGAAGTTCTGATTCTGCAGGCTCAGGCCACAGAGACAGAGACCCAAAGAAATGTGAGAGAAGCGCTGCTGTGTGCAGGAGAGACTGACCGCGCCTCCCGTTTCTTCCTTCTTTTTCATTTCTGCACTTCTAACAAATGAAATCAAGCTGTTCTGGAAGGATTGAGGAGGAAACTGTGGAAATGATGCTTTTAAAGTTGGGGAATTTGTTTTAAAATGGGAGGAAATGGAAACATGAATATAAAAGAGCAAAGTGAACATCATGATAGTTTCCAAATAATTTCAAGACAAAGAGAAGTCTGAAGGTTGGAGAACTGCAACAGGCAAGAGTCTCTTTTACAGGATTCTAATTTTCATTTACTTTGTCCCTTGAATTCTGCTTGTCACTTCCCTGCAGAGAACACCAAATAAATTTAAACGATGCCAAAACACTAACAGGCACGTGCATCACCCCTTCTCTGAAATGTAACTTACTTCCAATTCCTTTAAACCGAGGGAAACAAAGACCAGAAGTTATCACTCTTGCATTCCAAGGAAGACTGCCTAAATAATAAATAAATAAATTTAAAGAAGAAGATACTTTTCTCTTGCTACTCTTTGATTTCTAGCACGCCAACTGCGCCTTACTTAATTTGCAAAAGGATCTCAAGGGACGCCTCTCCAGTCCCCTGGCGTCCAGATCCAACCCCACGCCGACAAGAGGGTGGGCGTGAGCGTGGGGGACGGGGGTGGGGGGGCCCGACGAGCAATTCAGAACAAGTTTCCTCCCAAGTCCAGTCGCCCTTCAGCTCTTTTTTCTCATTGAAAAGCGGGAGAACCGGGAAGACGGGCCCCATGTCCCTACAACGCCCCCCAGCGCGGAGCAGAGGTCACGGAAATGTCAGCGCAGCCCCTGGGCTCGCAGGAGCAGCCGCTCCGCCGCCCTCCGGCCGTGCGCACGGCCACCCACGCGGGACCCCGCCGTCCCGTCCCGCCAGGCTGTGAACTGAGGCTGACACCCCCAGCACCTCCGTCAGTGCCCCGAGCCTCAGTTTACCGCAGGCAAAACGAAGAGGTTTCTTTCAGCTGTACCTTGCGATCACGTGAATGTCCCTATTCTTACATCCCCTAAAAGTCCGTCCGTCAACCGCTCCCCGCCCCGCCCCGCGTCCAGGAGACGCTGTGAGTCCCCAGTGTCCTCTCCCCCCCCCCACACCCGTTTCTCCGGGACGCCAAGCACACTCGTCCACGACGTGCCCACTGCTCGCCACCCACAGCCCTTTCCGCCCCTCACCAAACGCACGCGTTTTCAGGTCGGTCCCTGTTTGAAACGGTCCCTAAGAGGCTTTGCCAAGAGCCGCCCGGCAGCGCACAGGGCTGACCGCTTCCCCCGGGATTCTGACCCCCATTAACTAATGCCGAGCTCCCCTCGCCCGGGAGCCGGAGGCCGGGCCGCGCCGGTGCGGTGGGAGTTCGCGCGCCGGGGCGGGGGCGGGGGCGGCAGCCGGGGTCCCCCCAGCCGCCCCCCGCGCTCGGGCCCCTAATGAGCCGCTGAAAGGGAGCGGGCTCCGGCGCGCGTGGCTCGCAGGCCTCCCGGAGTCCGGGGCGCCCTGATTGGCCAGCTGCGCCTCGCGACCTCCATTCATTAATAAATTAGCGGCACGCTCCAGCCGAGCGCGAGCCACCAATCACAATGGACAGCGGCGGCGACAACAGCCGCAGCTTGAGCCGCTGCGGCCGCCGCGGCCTCCGCAGCTCGGGCCGCAGCCTCGAGCTCCAGCAGGAGCTTTAGAACCATTTTATGCTGATTAGATAAAAAGGGGAAAGGGAGGTGGGGGCGGAGGGGGGAGGAGGATGGATGGCAGGGCCAAGGGAGGGGGGAGGGGGCGAAGAAAGAGAAAGAAATGAATGATGATAATGCACTGAAAAGAGTAAGCCAGGGGACGGAAAAGCGGGGGAGGAGGGGGGCCGGGACGGGGGAGGCGGCGGCGGGGGCCCGGGGGCAGCTCCGATTGTTTTCTTGGTGGTATATAAGGGGTTTTAAGGAGAGTCGTGTGCCAGACACGCAGCCACTGAACCACAAGCAGCTTCGCTTTAACTGGAGTGCCTGGGAGTCGCGTGCCAGGAGCCGCACGGCCGGGGACTGACTGACAGACAGACACGCACCGCCGCCGCCACACACGAGACCCGGGCGGGCCGCCGCCGCCGGGGCTTGGCAAACGCGCGTCGCAGAGGTCGCCCGCGGAGCTCGCCACCGCAGCGCCGGCTCGGGCGCGGGACGCAGTGTTGCGCTCCCGGCGGCGCGGGCATTCCGGGCACCCCTCAGAGCAACAGCACACTTAGAGCCGACGAAGTAAGTACCCGCGCCACGACGTCCCACTTCGCAGGCCGTTTGCCACGCCCGCACGCCCTCTGCTCCGCGCGGAGTCTTTGTCGCCGAGGTCAAGTCCCTCCCCAGGGAGGGAAGCCCTCACAGTGCGGGACCCACCTGACTGGCGCTGGGTCACGACGAGGGGCGCTCCTCACCTTGGCTGGGTTTCTGTCCCAACTGCGTCTCCCCTCCGCGCCGTTCCGCGCCGCTCCTCTGGGTGACACGTGGAACGTGCCTCTGTTTCTTTCTTTGCACCTCATTGGTCTCTTTCTCCTCCCCGCTCTCTGCCGTAGGATGTTCGTCAAATCTGAGACCTTGGAGTTGAAGGAGGAAGAGGACATGCTGGTGCTGCTCGGCTCGGCCTCCCCGGCCTCGGCCGCCCTGACCCCGCTGACGTCCAGCGCCGACGAGGACGAGGAGGAGGAGCCGGGCGCGCCGGGCGGGGCGCGCGGGCAGCGCGGGGCGGAGGCCGGGCCGGGAGCGCGGGGCGGCTCGGCGGCGGGGCCCGAGGGCTGCCGGCCCGCGCGGCTGCTGGGTCTGGTGCACGAGTGCAAGCGGCGCCCCTCCCGGGCGCGGGCGGTGTCCCGCGGCGCCAAGACGGCCGAGACGGTGCAGCGCATCAAGAAGACCCGCAGGCTGAAGGCCAACAACCGCGAGCGCAACCGCATGCACAACCTCAACGCGGCGCTGGACGCGCTGCGCGAGGTGCTCCCCACCTTCCCCGAGGACGCCAAGCTCACCAAGATCGAGACCCTGCGCTTCGCGCACAACTACATCTGGGCGCTCACCGAGACGCTGCGCCTGGCCGATCACTGCGGCGGCGGCGGCGGCGGCGGCGCGGGCCTGCCGGGGGCGCTCTTCTCCGACGCGGTGCTGCTGAGCCCGGGGGGCGCCGGCGCCGCCCTGAGCAGCGGCGGGGACAGCCCGTCGCCCGCCTCCACGTGGAGTTGCACCAACAGTCCCGCGCCGTCCTCCTCCGCGTCCTCCAACTCCACCTCCCCCTACAGCTGCACTTTATCGCCCGCCAGCCCCGCCGGCTCGGACGTGGACTACTGGCAGCCCCCGCCGCCCGACAAGCACCGCTACGCGCCTCACCTGCCCGTAGCCCGGGAGTGTGTCTAGAGCTGACAACTCTGCGAGCCACACCAGGCCTAGCGGCTTCCCTTTCCTGTCCCCAGCCGAGCCCTCCTCCCCTCCACCGTCCCCACTTTGCACCACCTCGCTTCACAGGGCAGACGCAGCCGTTCTGATTCCTCGGCTTGCTGCCTTCCTTGACTATATTCATTCAGACGGGCTGTGATTTACTGAAGGTGTGATGGAGCTGGTGGCGTTTGGGGGGCTTCTTGAGACTGAAAAGATGTCGGGAAGAGATGATAGTGGCACATCTAAGGAGTTTGCAGAGCGGACTGACGCTCCTCCCCCTTCTCTGTAACGCCGGAGCACTGGGCGCAGTGCGTGTGAATCTCCCAGGGGGAAAGCAACTGGTCCCTGTGATCTTTTCACCTTTGCTTCTACATAGAGATGTTAATGTCGAGTAGAAAGAAATGTATCTTAGCATCTGAATGATTTTACCGGTAATAATATTATCCACAGATTTGCAATGGCTGGCATCTGCTTTATTCCCATTGCTGTTTGCAGGCTGTGGGAATTTCACCTGTCAAACCAAACTTTCCTTCTCTGATGTGCACTTTGTTCTGTTTCCCAGATTCGTCACAATGCCCATTGTCCCGTCCTTCTCTTTCCTTTTTCTTCCCTATTTTGCCATCTGTCTCTTATGATTTATAAGAGGGAAAAAAACTTGCTTTGTTAGAGGGGCAGGTTAGAAGTCATTGTATAATTTGTAGGCTTTGTAATGATTGAATGAAAGCGTGGAAATTTAGGCTGAACTCTCTATCAAAAGGAAAAATGTGGAGGAAAAGGGAAAAATCAGGAGGGAGGATTGCTTCATGCATTATTTATCTCGACCTTTTAGGGGAGAAGGAACTCCCCCATTCTTTCAAGAGATTAAAAATAAATCAACAGTCTGAAAACCTAAGCAGACACGGAGCGTTATCGGGATCAGCCACACACGTGTTCCCTTCTATTTATTATGAAGAAATTTTTCATGGGAAAAGTATGTATTTTTTGTATATTCCACAGAGTTTATTCTAGTATGTATTTACGTCTTGAAGAACAAGAAAATTGTTCTTGTGATTAAACTATAAATAAAGTATCTAATTTTCGTAAGTTTTGTGTGTTGTATTCTAACTTTTTCTTGATTATGTAGTTTGTGTTTGAGTTGCAAATGAGTTGTGCTTTTCTAAAATTCCTCCCATATCAAATTGAATATAGTACTTGTATTTTTTGGGCAATGTCTGTGTGTAGGATTTCACTAAGAAATTACAAGAAGCTGAATTATATTTAAGACATTAACACCGAAATAAGTAACTCTCAATACAAGCACAAACTTTGTTTTTAAGAAATGAATTTCTGTGCAAATGAGACCAAAAAAAAAGGAAAAGAATTAAAATGATAATGTCACAATAAGCCCCAAAGTTCAGAAAACATCACTGATTTTTAAAAATAGTGAAGTTGAAATTTCTTGGTGGAGTGTGTAGAAATTTGGTTCTTACACTTCTTTTGGCTTCAGTTCTCATCTGTAAACTGAAGGGGTTGGACAGCGATCTCCAAGGGCTCCCTTTCCAGCTCAATGTCTGTGATGTAACAGTATTTATAAATTCACTATTGGAAGCTGATGTTGTATTGGTCATTTGAACAAGCAAGTTGATTTTAAAAGCAAACTCCTAGAAAAAAGGAGATATTTAGAGTGAGCTGGAATTTAAAAATATCTCAAAGAAATAGTTATCCTTTCTAATCTTTGTTGAAGTAATTACATGGTCAAAACTTCTTCAAAGAGGAAACAAAAATGGTTTAACTTGCACCTCAACCTCCAAAGCAGAAATGAATGACCTTTGATTGGCCTTGGGTCAAAAATGATCAAATGAAGGTTGACCACACTCTAGATATAATCCCCTTGGGAGAGGATGCCTACAACAATACAAGCTAAAAAGGCCCATGTGAGAACATGTTGGCTGTTCGCACAGCACCCTCCTCTCCATGAATGTCATGTATCTGCCTCTGGTCTGTGCTAAAGCCTCCACTCTTCTGCATAAAGCAATAATAATTTCTCTGGAGATGTCTATCTGAAACTACTCTTCTGTAGCCTATGGAAAATATCAAGTGTCTAATATTTTAATAACTCCACTTTTATCAAAGGAAGAACCAACTCGGGGGTTTTGTTTCATTTTCATAGCTGGACATACGAGAGACCTGTTGAAACATCCCTCTACTTTAAAGATTGTGTTATTCTTAGCTATTCTTAGATTATCTGATATGGGGAAAAAGATACAGTTCTCTTATAGTCAATGTATGTTTCTAGTGTTTAAAAAGCCAAGCCAGCAAAGTATTTATAATAGGATAGCTTGAAAACATTAGAGTTTTGATGCTGACCAATGCTTCTGGTGGTGATGATATATGATGATGATGATGATGATGATGCTATATGGTGCTTCCTTGGGAAACGTGCCAGAGAAACAGGGTTGTGACGGCAGACCCTGAAGTACAGTTACTCTTCCGAGACTACGGAAACCCCTCAGTTGGTAAGGCCATCTCATGAACAGGTGACTTAGTTGGAGAGGCAGGCACGGGTAGCTGGTCCAATAATCATAGCGTTGAGTACTGACAGCTAACACAGACTTGACGTTGGACCTAGCAGAATCTAGCAGCTACCTCTGCAGTTTCTCCAGGTCAACCGTCTGGTTCACAAAGCGGGAGCTCGCAGGTCCCCACACCCAGGCACGCCAGGCATGCCACGTGGTCCGTCTACCACCTGCGAACCACACTCAGGCTTTGCCCTCCCCATCTAGAGCGCACCTCATTTTACACTAAATTGGCACAATTATTTTTTATGGCGTCTAATCATCTGTAGCGGTTAAGAATGATGTTCTTACTGCCTCAGCGCCGGGAGTTCTGCTTCCTAACCCACTGCAACCTCCAGAGCCTGGGCGCTGAGGCGGGTCGTTGTCTCCCCTTCCTAGTAGAAAGAAGCACAACGACAGGGTCGAGGCCGTTGCTTCCGCGGTAGGGAGCAAGGTCGCTTTTCCATTTTACCCATTCCCCTCCCCACGCTGTGACCGCGCTGCGGTGAGCTGCGTCAGTCCGCACCCGGCGGGCTGCAGGCCTCGGAGCCAGGCCGCTCTGTTTCCAGGGGCTCTCTGGGGAGAGACACCTCCAGCGGCGCTGCGGAGACGGTTGCTCGGTGTTGCCACATCTCTCCTGCGCGCGGGGAGGCGTGAAGATCGGTCCTGTCCGCACTGGGGCGTCGCCTTAGCGCCGCCAGGGTTCCGGGCTGGTTGTATTTATTTGTTCTGAAGTGCCCAGGCCTGGTTACGGCTCATTTTCCCTTCACCAGACTTGAAATACATCCATCCGAGGGCCAAGGAGGAGGAGGGGAAACGAAAGTAGAGGGGCGGATGCCAAACGCGGGCCCCGCCGCACCTGGGCAAGGGCCGGCGGGCGCCCTCCCGGGCCCAGACCCCGTCCGCGGCGGCGGCGAGGGCACGGAATGGCCCGGGGGCGACTTGCCGGAGCCCCGTAGTCCGACGGCCCGCAGAGGGCGTCTAGGCCCAAGACCCCGCCGGCGGGTCACGTGGGCTCCGGGCCGCGCAGGGCCGCGGGCCGGCGGTGACTTCTGGGCACCGACACCTGGAACGCGCTGAAAGCGCCTCCTGCTTAAGCGGGGCCTCGTTCTCCCTCCGCCGCCCTCGGGCTCCGGGCGGGCTTTGAGCGCGTTAATTAAATAAAGCGGGCGGCCCTGAATCGCGCCAATGCAGGGCGCTCCCGGGAGCGTGAAAGTCCCGGCCTCCGAATCCGCAAAAGAAACGTGTGAAAAGAGAATTAGTGAAATTAGGTTAGACCAATAAAACGTGAGGGCTCCAGCATTCCCCCTTCCCGCTCCCCCAGCCCGGGGCTAGGAGGGCTATCTGGTCTGATCTATTGTTTCCCGCCGTGGCAGGGGGTTCATTGTGTGATAAATAATTCCCCCTCCATTTTCTTTTATTCTAAAAAAAAAATGGGTATTTGCATAATCAGTGCTTTGATGTGGCCAGAATTCGGAGGTTTGGTCTGCGCGAGTCTGCTATTGGTAGCGAAGCAACAGAGCTAGACCCAGATCCTTCACTTCGCTGCCAGTGTGGGGGGCAGATTGTCAGAAACAGCGGCCTTAAGCCGCTGCCTCCTTTTTTAAGGATCCACTTTAATGATTAAACTTAAGGAATGTCCAAAAAAGGAGGGGTGAAGGACAAGTGGTCTCACCCCTTTCTACCTCCCCCTGTCCGCAGGGACATTGTTCTTTGCAGTTTCTTTTCCAAAGCGCTGGGGTTGGGGGTGCTGCGCCTCCCTCCGGGCGCCCCACGTGGCTCGGAGTGGGCACCGGCGGGGTCCCCCCGGCCGAGGAGGGGCGAGGTCTGCAGGAGCAGCCTCCTCTCCCCCCACCGCTTTTTCGCTCCCCAGTGTGGTTATCCAGCGGGATGGGGTTCGTCTTATGGAGGACGCCGAAGCGAGTCTCTCTTCAGTCCCCAAGTGGAGTGGGGGGTGGGGGTTTCCCTGGGAACGCAGCTTGGGGGCAGTTTCAGATGCTCCCGCCAGGACCAGCCAGCAAAGAAATGCAGTCATCCGAAAAGCAGAACGCGAAAGCCAGTGTGGCCGGAGCTTTTATTTCCCTGCAAGGTGGCGTGAGTCGGGAGGACGGGGTGGGAAAGGATCCCGACGGTGCGCGCTGCAGCAAACGACTTTTCCCCGCTCAGTGCCAGGGGCGGGGGAGGGCGGCGGGGGTGCCTCTGTTTGCTTTCGCTCTCCCTCTCCGGCTCCTCCAGCGGCTCGGAGCACGAAGGGGCAAATGTCAGCTTGGGTTACTGGCTGGGAGCACCGAGCGAGAGGCCGGGCCTCGCTCGGCCTCCGACAGACGCGGGCCTTGGCGCTGCAACCCGGGGAGGTTCCCCTGCGTGAGCCGTGCGCGGCCTCCCGGGATCCAAACGGGATGTGGATGGAGACACGCAAGCGGGGAAGGCGGATCCTGGGAACACCTGCGCGCCCAGGGGCCCACTCCTCCCCGCCAGCCCCACGTCTCACCGAGCTGACCCACAGATGCGCCACCAGCTTGTGCACCACAGAGCTTCAGTGGTGGTTAGCGCGTCATCAATTCTCTGTTTACTTGTTTATCTTTCCCTTGTACTTTTCAAGGCTGTAACTATAGACGCATTCGGGTTTCTTCATATCAACTTTCTTACAAAACAAAAGCTATATATTTCTTAAGAAATAAAAGGATCTGGGATCCATGGTTCTTCCCAATGGAAGCATACTTGTAAGGTTTGACTTTGGGGGTAGCTCTTTAGATTTATGTCACCTGGCAGACATTACTCACTGCACATTGAATTTCAGGGATGTAAGAAATCGAGAGGCAAAAAGTTATTTCCGAAGGACACATCTCCAAGAGAAGCCTGTTTGGACTGAGGCTGACTTCTAAAAGATTCAATCACCACTGCGTATCTTCTCTGATAGACCTTGTTGAATTATACAGCAGGCTGTGTCACCAACGTTTTTCTCCATTTCCCCTTTCTTTGGAATGATTTCCCCATCACCTGCTCTTTATTTCCACCTGTGCTCAGATTTCCACTCCACTTTCACTCCCTTTTGCTCTGTGCTTAAAGGCATACCCAGAGACATTCAACAACAGAGCAGAGAACCAGAACCCTCACCTGTCTTATTTCATGTAGAAACTATTACATAAAAGTGCTGGAGTCCATGTAAAACGAAAACAGGAAGCTTTAAAATGTAGAGAGAACTGGGGGCTGGTTTCCATGGCAGCAGCTTGCAATAAAGGCTAATTCTAAGTGACAAAGAGGTCATCTTCCTTTTCAAACGTGTTTATGATCCCTTTGTGTATTGTATTTTGGCATAAAAGCTTCTCTGCACCGTCAGGGCTCCACGGGCAGCTCTATGACTCTCAAGGGGGTTTATTGCCTCCTTGGCATAAGAATAGCTGAAAGAAGCCAAACTAGTGCCAGTGTGACAAAGAGTAACCCCACAGGCTTGCCATCACTTTCTTTCTGTAATCCATAAATCTCGCTGTGCATTGAAGTAATCAAAAATGAAGGATTCTGGGATGAGTTTAATGGGATTTTGT